AAAAAAAAAAAAAGAATTTTTTTTTTGGTGTAACTATTGACTCATTGATGTTAGCTGTTTATATTTATTTATTTATTTACGTTTAAAATATAGGCCATACATTAGTCAGAAATATTGGGAGATTTAGATATATCGATGGGTCAAATTTTTTACTACACAAGTTTAATCTCTCACTAACTTTTTGCTGTTGGCGATTTGCCAGCCTCCTACAAAAGCAAACAATTATTCCATTTATATACACAAAAATTGTTGCATTTATTGGATAAAGTTTAAAGGCAAGTAAATGGGAAAAACAGTGTGAAAAGAGGAGAGGTGCTTTTGGAGGAAAAAGGAATTTGTTGTTGAATTGCTTATATGTTTTATCATTTAAAGTGATCATGAAAAAATTTATCTATCTGTTCATTTAAAAAAAAAAGGTAAAAAAAAAAAGCAAATAAACAAACCATATTTTATAGCTGGTCAAATTTGTAGTATAAAGGGGGGCGCTAAATGTTTGCAGATGAAATCCAGGATTTGATTAGATCACAGGTAAACAGGATCTTTGGTCTTCTGTACTATAGACTCACTAAGCATTTGATCATTGATCAACATTCCTATTTATGCAGTTATATATACTGCCATACGACAAACCTCATTCTATTTTTGTTCTCTCATTGTTTATATTTGCTGTTTTTTTTGTCTCTTTTTTTCTTCTTTTTTTTTCGTTTTGAATCGCACTTAGACTTTGTTTTAAAACAAATTTGAAGCAATTTTATTTTTATTTTTTTTTGAACATTTAATGCAGCTACTGGACACCAACAGCATTTATTGGCCAACAGCGTCTGAGTAGTTGGTGCATCAGAGTTTGACTAACGTTTTTTATTTGATTGTGAAGATTACAGAACAACATAAAAGACTCACAAAGTGTCCTTCCTGTATGATCAACGGGAATTATTGGGGCGATAATTGAAAATGGATATTGGAGAAACAGTGATGTTTATACAAAAAAATTTCTAAAGATTTGACACAAAGCAAAATTCAATAGCATTTTGTATAATAATATTTATACAGACAAATAAACACATATAAATATAGACATGCATTGTATTTTTTTGCTCAGTTACAAACTGATTGATATTTAGTAAGAGAGTTGAAAGCAGGATAAAAAAAAAAAAAGTAAAAACGGAGAGAAGGAACATTGGACGGTGGAGGAAAAAAAGAAGGATGGGATGAAGGTGGAACAAGTAGGATGGACGGGGGAACCACTGAGGAGGGGAAAGGAAAGGAAAGGAGA